AATCTCGTGTTAGGCTAGTTTAAATTTTTTATATTAAGTAATTCAAATTAAAATGAAGAGAAGCTATCATTTCTATTATCTATAATTCATCATAATCCCCTTTAACAAGCCCGTAGAGCTTTGTTACGCTACTTCTTCATAACCTACCAAGGATTATTACAAGTATATCATTCTTTCACAAGAAAGTGAAAACAAGAAGAATCCAAGATGCTCGGAATACGAATCAAGCAATGGTGCCAAAAAGAATAATCAAACAAATTTGCCAAAAGAAGAATCAAGCAAAGGTGCCCAAAAGAAAAAAAACAAACAAAGGTGCCAAAAAGAAGAATCAAGCAAAGGTGCCAAAAAGAAGAATCAAGCAAAGGTGCCCAAAAGAAAAAAACAAACAAAGGTGCCAAAAAGAAGAATCAAGCAAAGGTGCCAAAAAGAAGAATCAAGCAAAGGTACCTAAAAGAAAAATCAAACAAAGATGCCCAGAAAGGCAAATCAAGCACTTGGGCCAAGAAGAAAAATCAAGATAAACTCCGAAGAATAGTCAAAGACCAAAATGAAGGACACAAAAGCACAAGTTGATGAAAAATGATCCTTGGTCAATTTACCCCCAATTCACACTAATCTTTGGGCCTTCATACATTATTTTCAGCACCCTAAACCTATGGCCACGCTACAACCTATATAAAGTCCTCACTGATTAAGGATGATTGCTTAGTTATAAAATATTTCATCTAGATTAATATGAGAAACCTTACCCCAAGCTGGGCAGGTTGTTTTTATAGTGATCACGGTTTATGAACCTCATATGGAAAGTCTGGTGAAGAAATGAGTAACATGAGGCTGACTCTTTTTAGCTAAGCTTCCGGATGGCACTGCTATCTCGATAGGAAGAACCGCCTCTGTACTGTAAACTAAGGAGAAAGGCGTGGCGCTTGTGGCTCCTCTTACAATAGTTCGGTAAGCCCAAAGTGCGAGAGGCAATTGCTCTGCCCATTTGTCATACTGCTACTTTAGGGTCCTGCTTAAGATCCTAAGTAGGGTCATGTTGGTGGCTTCCGCTTACCCATTACCCTTGGGGTAATAGGGTGTTGACTTATTATGGGTCACGTGATATCTTTGGAGGAGCGCTCGAACCTCGTTGTTGACGAAAGGAGTTCTGTTATCTGATAGAATTACTCGAGGTACGCTGAAGCGGCAAATGATGTTCTCTTTAATGAAATTAGCCACGAACTGTCCTGTTGCTGTCGAGAGGGCCACCGTTCTACCCACTTAGTACAGATTTCCATCGCCACTAATATCCATTTCTTTTTCCTTGAATTTGGGGAGATCAGGCCTATTAGGTCCATGGCCCAGGTGTGAAAAAGCCAAGGAGGGCTCAGGGAATGCAACCCGACTGCTGGTGCATGAATAACATGATTATGGATCTGACATTCTCAACACTTTTGCGCTTGCCTCCTGCTATCCTCCTATATAGTAGGCCAGTAATAGCCTAATTGTATAATCCGGTTGTACAGTTTCCTCCATCCCTGGGGCTCATCTTCCTGAGCTTGCTTGAGTAATTCCCGTGCTTCTGGGATGCTTACACAGCGCTTGGCTCTCCCATCAAAACCTCGTCTCATTAATTCCCCATTGCTGATAAAGAAATGGCTCGTGTCCTTTTTCAACGTGGTAACCTCTTCGCGATCCTGTGGGAGTAGGTGTCGCTCGAGGTAATCTAGGTATTTTTGCCTCCAGTCCTCATTGACACAGGCGACACTTTGTGCTCCCTCGAAGACTTCTCTACATCTTAGGCATTCCTTCTGAACGGCGCTTGCTTCCCTTGCCATGGATGGCCAGAAATACCCTTATCTTTGTACCCTCCGGTACAAACTCAGCGAGTCATTGCCACATGTTTGTTTGTGAATTTCGGGCAATACGCGGTCGGCCTCTTCGATTCCAACACACCTCACCAGAACGCCACCAGGTGCTCTATAATAAAATGTTCCGAAGTATAGGGTAAAGTCTTTTAAATTTTGGTCAAGGGGATTTTGCCTTCGTCGTTTTTAAATTGTGATTCATAGGCATTCCTCCAGTCCTCTTTCCCTCTTTCATCAGCGAACTCGTCGCTATGCAAGCAAGATACATCCTTCTTCTGAATTTTTATGTCTACTGATTCCCCTGCTATTTCAACTTTGGAAGCTAGAGTGGCCAGGGCGTCTGGATGTCTGTTGGCTGTGCGAGGTGCGTGAGTTATGCGTAGCTCATCAAAGTGGCTGCTGAGTCTCTGTATGATGGTCCTGTAAGCCGCCAATGACATCTCCTTGATGGCATACGAACCATGCAGTTGCTTCACCACCATGTTCGAATCTCCCTGCACATGTAGGCGTCTGACCCTAGCTTCTCAGGCTGCCAACTAAGTCTTCATACTCTGTCGTATTGTTAGAGCACACAAAGGTTAATTTGTACGAGAAATCCTGAGCTTTTCCTTTTTCTGATGTTAGCACTATTCCGGTGCCTCCTCCTTGTGCTGTCAACGATCCATTGAATAATAACGTCCAGATTGCATCCTAAGTAGTGCAACACTTCGACTCGAGGTCCTCATAGGGGAGATCGGCTTTCATGGGCTCGTATTCTCTTGACGGGAACTGGGCCATCAGATCTGCTAAAGCCTGGTTTAATATGACGCGGGGCAAAGAGATATATCGAATTCGGCCAGAGTCAGGAGCCATCGTGCTACTCACCCGAAATAACGGGTCGTGAGAGCAGATACTTCAGTGGGTCGCAACTTGTGATAAGATGAATGGTATGAGCAAAAAAGTAGTGACGAAATTTCTTTACCGCAAAAGCCATAGACAAACAGTGACATTCAATTGGTGAGCACCGTGCTTCCGCGCCTTGAACAACTCAGCTGATGTAGTAAACAGGGCATTCACGACCTTACTTCTCCTGAGCGAGCAACGCCCCAATGGAGTGTTCGGTGGAGGTGATGTACAGCCTGAGTGAGGTACCTTGCCAAGGAGCTATCATGGTGACTGGCGAAGATAGCAGGTTTTTGACTTTGTTGTGTAGCACGACAGCCATACGAACGGCTTCTGTAAGCCTTGGATCATCCAAAGGTCCCGAGAAGGGTAAAGTTCCGCCATAGCCGACAACCGTACCAGTGTTCTCTAAGTCAAACCCCTGTAATTGTAGTAGATATTTATGTAATGAAGAGAGAGAAAACGATATACCTGAAACATTTGTGATTTTTGTCGACAAATATTGTAGTCTCTACTAAATTCTGTAGGCGGCTGCGTATGCCTCCTGCAAGAGGAGGACTGACGACAGAAAGGGCTGAGATTGTGGTGGAGGTTTTGGTTAAAAGACCACTCAAAAACCCTAGCTTTGTCTTCAAATGATTCTTATAACCAATTCTACCCACTCTCTCAAGCACACAACGAAGTGCCATGGATGATGACGGGTTGAGCTGCTGCGATCAACGAAAGAATCCTTCGCGTACCCTTTTTATAATTAATTGGGGGAGAATTTTGAAATGACCAATACACCCTTTATTTGTTTATTTTTGTATTTATTTTATTTTATTTAGCAAGACTGCTAAACTATGTAGCATGCACACGGACACGGGACACAAACATGATACGACACGGATAGGTCGACACGTCAAATTTTAAAAAAGTAGGACACGGGTACGGTGTGGACACAAGCTAGATAATAATATAATATTTTTATTATTATACATCTATGCAGTAATAGTATTATAAAACTTTAATTCATTTATAATTTTTATATTAAGAGTTGCTCTAAAATGAATTAGAAAATGAAATTATGTTATTATTGTAATAATTTTTATATCATATATACTATTATTTCACTACTTTGTTATGATGGTATTCATATTATTATCAAGATTACTGGGTAAACTTGTGTTAGAAATGTCCGATAAGTGTCGGCGAAGTGTTCGGAAAGTATTGGTGAAGTGTCCAGAAAGTGTCGGCGAAGTGTCCGAAATAATAAAATTAATTTTTATTTATGGACACGTATATGAAATATCGGACACGTATTCGAGGAGTGTCTGAAGAGTGTCGGTGTCCGACATAGGTATGGCTCCTTCGTAGAAGTATCCGTGCTTCCTAATTGTTAAATGTTAAATTAAGTTACTCTGGTTAGGTGCAAAGGCCAGCACTCCAATTTCAAGGGGAAACTCTTATCCATATGAGCTATTAGGCATCTGCAAGAGCAAATCTAAGTTGTCAAATAATTTTTACCCACATAATTTGAATAATTTTTAGAACTTCAAAGTAACGAGGGTAGATGAGGAATATTAAAAAAGTAATACATTGGAAGGAGAAATTGGATGATTATTTTGGTACAGCCAAAAATAAAAGGGTGAATAATATTTTGCCGGACAGAGGGAGTGCATAAATATATTGTATATTGTGCTAAAAAAAAAATGCTATATACCAATACTTTTTAATACAGTGGTATTTGTAATATAGGCTAGAAAGTAGTCAAAAATTAATCTTTTTCTTATTTGTTTTTAATAGAAAACCATTTGAATTCCAAAATTCAACAAACAAATAACAAAGTTTGGCCTAAAACCAATTTATGATCCACACTTAAAAAGTACAAGCAACGATTTTCTGCATTCAATAAAAAATTGCAACTTTTTGTGGAGTAGTAGTATATTTTCTGCACGTTATGATAAAGAGTACGACAATTAATAATTTTATGTGACGTCATCATAATTTATGACATTATGATGACATCAGTCACCGTTCACTTTTGCACTACTGAATAATCAGTATCCCTCCTGAATAATAATCATTATCATCATCAAGTAATAAACTTTCCAAGATTTCAAACAAGGAAGCATAGCTACCCATCGTACACCAGTCCAGAAATGAATTCATGATGGATTTCTACAGCAGCAGGCTTTCACTAATTTCCTTATTGCTCAGCAGCAGGTGACAGATACAAACAATAAAAGTTCTTCCAAGAACGATTAAGAATAGCTTAAAAAGACGACGTAATCAAACAATAAACTTGAACTCTCATATTATATATAGAGCAACCACATACAAACAACAAACAATGCATAAGCATCATCAAACTTATATACAACATATTTCATGCTTGACCTTATGTTAACAGAGCTGTAGGGTTGATTCAAGTAAATTCTACAAACTTCTCAACAGGAGCAGCGAATGTAACTGTTTCTTCTATTTATCCTTGTAAACTTCCAAGAGTCAATCTTTGGATTCCGGGGTACCAAAAAACAAAAAGGAAGCTGTGCATCTGTACTTGAAACTTGCAGTTGAAACACATCACTGTTTGGCAGCAGCCAAAAAACAAAAAACGAAGCTGTGAATATCTGTACTAGAAACTTGCAGTTGAAACACGTCACTGTTGGGCAGCAGCCAAGAGCCTCACACGACGCCTAAGTAGTTGTTTGCGGCAGAAGCCAACCAAACATAGGACAATGACCAGAGCAATAGCACAATAATCAAAAAATTTTAAAATCTCCTTGCGCCCTGCAGAACAGCAGCAGTTAGTTTTTGGTTAAATGGAAAAAAGAACGACCGGACAATAAATAGTGCACCAAAGGAAATCAAAGATGGTTCCCAGCACCATAATTAGAAAGACAACATAGTCTCAAAATGGAAGACTAGATAGGCTCCCCTTAGGAGATTATCAATTCTGTACATCATCATGATCACATGGTTTCGGACCAATACCTTCTGAATTTACATGTCAGTGTTTAATCATATCAAAACATGTCCTTTGAAACAATGTAGTCTAAACAAATGATCATTTGAACTTCTTATCACATTGATGTCTACAAGAATGTGAAACCTATTTAAGTCGCATCCTGATTTTCTATAGGCAACCAGTTTGTGCAACCGTACCAATATTAAAATTTCACAAAATTAGAGCTGGAGAAGCAAAATACCCAATGGAATGAAGTTAAAATTGCCCATCTCGTAGAGGAGACTCAGAAGCAACTGCAAACAAGAAAGAATTCAGAATTAACCTGGAGAAAGAAGCCATGAAGCCAATTTCAATGTAACACAATAGTACATAAACAGCTCGCAAGATGCAGATGTATATGGTAAACACATATTGACAGGTAACTGAATTGATGAAAGTTAATGGAAAGTTCCTCACAATTGGAAGTATTCGCCACCTTATGTTAGATACCACACCTGTCTACAATTTTCAAATGGATTCTGCAATTAGTTATGCACATACCTACAATTTGCCATATGGTTTCACAATTATTTTTATAACACTCCTTAATTAGCTAATTAACAACTCAAAATTAACTACATTTAAAATAAACAAAAGAAAATTCCTCAGAAACAGGGAGTGATAGGAATTAGGAAATAGAAATGTCATCGTAAGCTATTTAATAATTGAGAGAACCAATAAAAAGATATAGAGAGGAAGAAAATGCATCGTATAATTTTTACTGATTCAGAGAAAGCCTGTGATAGGATACTTAGAAATCTAACATAGAGAGTTTTAGAAAACAATTGTGACTATAATTAAAACAATTGTGAGAAATGAAGTGAATTTTCAATTTCTGTTGACTTACGTCAAGGTTTAGCATTAAGAATATCTTTTGCCTTGGCTATGGATGAACTGATGAGATAGAATCAGATTTCATGGTACTCCCTTTGTCCCAAAAAGAATGTCCTTTTTGGAGAGTAGAAATTTTTAAGGGGACATGTGGACCATTTATTGTCCCCCTGGAAAGTTACTAAATTGCCCTTTTAAGTTTTGAATATTCAAGTTTGAAATTTTAAACTCTAAGGACATATATGGAAAGATGTAAAATATATTGTTTGAAAAAGGAAAGTGGACAATTATTTTGGGACAACCCAAAAAGGAAAAATGGACATTCTTTTTCGGACGGAGGAAGTATAACTTATTTGATGATATTATTTAATTTATTTTCAGTTATGAAACTAGAGAAAAGATAAGTGTTAAACTGGAGGTTTGGAGGAAAGGTCTAAATCTTAAAGGAATTCAGATAAGTAGGAATAAAACTTTATATGGATTGTAACTTTAAGAGATCTAAAAATAAAAATAGAGATGTAGTGAAAATTGAGGATCAAGAGATACTAAAAACTGAACATTTCTGCTATTTAGGCTCGATTATTTACACCGATGGAGAAATTGGAGATTATTTGATCAGAAAAATCAAGGCAGGATGGATTAAATGAAAAGTGCATCTAGTATATTATGCGAGTGGCACGCCCCTCTTAAGATTGAAGAAAAGTTCTATAAAGCAATTATTAGACCACCAACACTTTATGGGACATAATGTTAGGAAGTTAAGAAACAACATATGCATAAAATGAGTGGCAGAAATGTGAATGTTGAGATGGATGTGCTGCAAAACAATAAATGATATAATAGAAATTAACGCGTTGGGAGATGGTTAAGTAGCACCCATTGAAGATAAAATGAGAGAATTGATTAAGATGGTCTGGACGTGCTAAGAAGACCACTAAGTGTATCAGTTAGGAACAGTGATGTAATCCATGTTAAAGTAATGCTAGAGGAAGGGGAAGACCAAAATTAACATGGCATGACACCTACGTAACTGTTCTGAAGTTCGATGTGTCAAGTTTAGTAATTTAAGCTTGATAGTAAAGCAATTAAACTTGAAACTTTAGCTTGACCTTGGCTATTTTTATTGGCAAACAAGCTTCTTAATTAGCTGAGAGCATGCTGTTCAAATAGTTCCGTAAAACTCAACAAAGCTCAATCCCCAGAAAATTGTGAAAACAAGATTTGCTTATTCTACCAAAAAAATTAAACTAAGAACAAGTTTGTTTCCCCTTTTTTTTTTTTTTCTTCTGTTTTATGTGAATAATGGTAAAACTAAAAGAACAATAGTTCAAGGAAACTCAATGCAGATGCATTCACGGTTTAGACAGCAGGGCTAGGACACTTTTTTAGCAGAATAAAGTTGTTGACTATACAATGTATTTGGTAGGTCAAAAGATCCTTCGACAGGAGATAATCTATTAGTTCATTGCTTTTCAAAGCAACTCTTTGCAATCAATTTATAAGCATACATAGCCCTTGTCTATGTTCCTTCTGAGTGCATGTGCACAGATGGTGAATTATAAAGAGCACCTGGATAATAGTCAATCATTCTGATTTCAGACACCATCTTCACCCAACTTCATTTCGTATCATCGTATGCTAGTCAAAGATAAATGCATACACCTGACAGCCACACACACACACACAGAACTTGTCTACTCCAAATCCGATCAAGGAGGGCATCCTAATCAATTTTTTTTCCCCCAAAGAGAGCTTCCTAATTTTTAATTGACCTGCAGCAGAAGCAAATCAGGGAATTCCATAAGGCAGCTCAAGTTAGTCTAACACAAATTTTTAATGTTATCTGGCTAAACAATCGCGAAGAATATCAGCACCAAAGGAACCCATGGTAACCTATTGGGTTTCACCCCCATAAAATCTAGCCATTTCATAGGACTAAAAGATTATCATGTGAGTTTGTCTCTTGATGCAACTACCATAAACACTACAACAGAACACCAACTTCATGCAAGTAAGATTTCATGGAATTAGATTGTCTGTACGTATGTATTGGGTTTTTTTTGCAAGCGAGATAGATATACAAGATTCACATGAATACATACAAGACAAATCCGAATTGTTCTCAACATCGCCCTCAAGCTCATGTGGTAGCCACTGCTTGGTTAGAGAAACATATGTATATCCTCTTTCTAAGAAGCACCAGATATGGACACGTGAGAGGATACACAAGATACGGATGCAATGATAGGACGAATCCTAAAAAATTTAAAACACGGACAAAGAAAGAGCATGGCAAATAATAAATATGTAATTTTATATATCTGATAATATATTATAAGGTATATTACACTGACACCCTTGAGGCTGTGCCTAATTACACATGGTGGTCAAATACGGGCCTAATAACACCGTGTACCCCTTAAATTAGGTGCATGTCCTCAACGACCCCCTCCCGTTAACCAGCAGTTAGAATCGTCCAATTTTTTAAATATAATGACAGATTTGCCCTTCCTTTCCTGAAAAGACATTAGTAGCCTTCTTAGATTCAAAAATTTACCAGTGTTATCCAAATTTCCTCGTCGAATTTGCCTTTCCCCTTCTTGCATGGATATGGCTCTTTGATGGCTCCCTTGTGCTTCTCATTAAAAATCAAAGCGAACCCTCAGATTGACATTTTATCATCCACTTAGAAATCGAGCAGCTCAGAAACATGGGACAACCAACAAATAAAAAGCTGGGGATATGGAAAGATACAAAGATTTTCCAACTAACTACTCTCAATCAAAACTTGTATTTAGTTCCTTCCACTTATATATATATATATATATCCCTGTTATTTCCTTTTCTCCGAACACTAACATGAATTATTGAACCTCATTATCGCCACAAATCTACGGTTTTTTTGGCTCAAAAACCAGATTTTTTAGTTTCATTTCCATAAGATCTGATTCTTCAGCAAACAGTGTGTGAGTGTGTATATATATGTATATACATATTTTGTAATTCTCATTGATTTATTGCTTATATCAGTGTCAAATTTTGTGAGAGGCAGTGGTTGTCGTCGAAAGATGATAATCTATAGACCTTTAACCCCTGGTCAAGTTTGTGATTTTGGAGATAATAGTCGGTTCATTGTCTAGAGCTTGTACATTGTCAGATCTTGCACTTCTTATATGACTCAATATATACAAACTGTTTATAGTTTTAATCAGTTGAATTAAAACACATAATTGTAGTTACATTGTAGTTTAGATAACTACTCTTTAAGGTGTACATAAAAAATCAAAGTGAAGCCTCAGGTTTTGTATGAACAGAAACCCTAATCTCACAGAAAAAGGGAGAGGAAATAGAAGGTGTAAGAGACAGAGAAAGATAGACCACCAAGTGTTTTTTATATATAAGGAGGTAACATGGTAATTTGTCTTAGAATATATTTTTTGTACTTTAATCTCATAAAAATCAGGGGTACAGTTGATATTTCATCCTCATTTTTGACGTCTGGTCAATGTAATAAATGCCATTTTTGACCACCGAGTGTAGTTAGGCCTAACCTCAGGGGGTGTAAGTGTAATTTACCCTATATCATAAGATTAATATTACTTTTCATTAAATTAAGAATAAAAAAATCCCATATCCAAATAGCTAATGAAATATAACAAGAATTCTATCATATAAAAATTTGTTATAATCAAAATCCATAACTAAACAAAAGATTACAGTTTCTATAAAGATTGAAATAGAAGGGGAGAGAGAGAGAGAGAGAGAGAGAGAGTAGGCTGAAGTGGAATTTCTCAACCCTTTTGAAAATTAGGGTTTTGTTGAAGAAAAGGAAAGAGAATTTAATTAGGAGAGAGAGAATCTGTTAACAAAAAATAAAGAAATAAGGAGAAAAGTAAGGTATTGAGAAAAGAAAAAATCTTTGGCGATGATAAAAGAGAGGATCTGAGGAGAAAGAAAGGGATTTGTGATAGGAAAAAAAGGCCAAAGAAAAAAAAGAAGATAGAGAAAGATAGTTTATTGAAAAAGAAGGACAACATTCGTCAACAGTCAAGCTTCAAGAGCTTGTTTGTAAAATAGAGCAAGATTCTTACCATTTTCTCTGCGTGAACTTTTACCTTAACAGTGTCATCTTGCATTCTTAAACCTTAAGCATGATTTACTTGACTCACTTGGACACTAAAAACAAAATATAACTTGCTTTTTTAACGAAAGTTGCCAAAACAAGACAATAAAGCTTCATTTGGATAAATGAATGAATTTGAAGTCAAGAATTTGAGCTTAAATAAATGATTGGCCATTGAAGCCGGATTTGGAATTCGCATTCTGAACTCAAGGTGCTCCCTAAATACTGCCTCCTACTCAAACAAGTGTATTGAACACTTGGATATCAATGTTAAGTTGGTATAGTAACTTCTTCAAGTATTATAGAGTTGCGATCACAAAGTTGTATTCCTTGGGAATTGAGCTTTGAATGCTTAACCTTGTGTTACACTGGTGGATGACTACAGTAGATAGATATGGGCTGCCGTTCGTAAGTCAAGGCATACAATGGCCATAAGTAATTTGGAGGGTCTCTAATCTATCATATGTGTAACCATATCCACATCACGAGGAAGATGGAAAATTCAACATGTGCCTTTTGGAGATCATTTATTGCTTTTCTTGCAAACCGTGTCATAATGGGTCATCTAATGTTCCAATGTTTTACCATTGTGGCAATACACGTGTCACTCAATGTGGATATACATGTCGTAATTAACCTACTTCTACACCCAACAAGCTATTTTCTTTAAAAAAAAAAAAAAAAAAGGAAAGAAAGTGATTTATTACTCATAAACCCTAAAGCAATTCTAAACCAAAGCTTGCTATTAAACTAGCTGAATGCAGCATGCATTATTTCAGAACTGTAAGCTTGTCGTCATAAAAGCCCTTCAAAAACTATAATTTACTACATGTTTATTAATTGTTTGTTTTGTCAAATACAATACACACACCCACTTCGTCCCAATTCAGACTTGGATCCTCCAACTTCCTTTGGTGCTAGAAGAGGTAGCACTCGGTACAACAATTACTCTTAACCAGACGAATTTTTCTCAGAATATGTTTATCCCACCACCTCCCTTCTTTAATTAGAATTTAGTGCTAAAATCAGAAAGAAAAATAATTCAAAATGATTTGGATACAACTGAAGTATTAATATGATGGACCCAGTCATTTTTGTATGCTAACATGGAAAGATTTACGGCTCATATGGACTCTGGCAAATAAGGGATTGAGGAGAAATGGAATCCAATCTTAGACATTAATAACTGAAGCATATAGTACACAAAAAAAAAATAATAATAAAATAAAATAAAAAATAAAAATAAAAATTTAAGTAAAGGAGCCTCCACCTTCCCTTTGGTGATGGAAGAGATGGTAAATGTTTTGCATGCACTCAAAGTACTAATAATAGAAAACCATCATATGATGGACCAAATAGTTTTTGTATACTTACATGGCAAGATTTACAGCTCAAAACATATTCTGGAAAATAAGGCAGTGGGGAGAAAGTATGGAACACAGTAATTACATGCTAATAACTACAGTTTAGAGTACACATCTAAGTAAAAGACATAATTTAGAGTCCAGGAAGTATACCTATTACATTATGCTACCTGTTATGTTGCCAGAAATCTTGACTAATTTACGGCAGTTACTCATCAAAATGTGAAACTATGTTTAATTTCACTTCCTCCACTTTCTGAAATATCTATCAAACTGAAAAGATATTGGCATACAACAAAATTCTGACACATTTACAGAAAAGTCCACTAAAATTTTGAAATCTATGATGCCAACTATTATCAATGATGAGAAAATAATACCAAAACTGCATGAATGACTCATATGAAAATCTGAAGCATGCTTCACTTGTACATTTTTTTTGCAAAGAGATGCATAAAATGCATGCATTACAACTATGGCAGTAAGATACCGAGATCAAATTCAGTCCGAGGAAAGAAAAAACAATTAAATCCGCTACACATCAAGAGAGAACATTTAAATGTTAAAAATAAGTACCAATATGTTTATGTAAAATATTGCCCGAGTAGGAAGAACTTACTGCAAGATGGCGCATCAAGTAATAGTTTAATCTGAGTCTACTAGGATCCATCAGTCCTAGAAACATTCTCTTCATGACCAGTGGCAACTGAAGCACTTTCTGTTGAGAAAAGAAGAAAGAAATTTTTTTTATATGAGTTTATAATACAACACCATATTCTTGTTAAGTGCTTGAAACAAGAATAAACAATAAGTCTCCAAGAATGCATAAGGATTCATGCAAAAAAAATTGCGACCAAATTTTTTTAGTATTCTTTCCACAGGGTAAGTGGATATTAGTTCTCCTCTCCCCCCCCCCCCCCCCCGCCTCCCTCTTGCACCGTTGGTAAGCTCATTGAGCAATTAAAAGTTAAAAGTGTTGAAATCTAATATTGCTCTGGCTCTTGCTAGTACACTAAATCATGAATTATGACAATGGGTAGTGATTTAATGTATTAAAATTATATCTAATGCTACCGTGTTATTTTCACCCTTACCACCACAAAAAGACAAATTAATGGCAAGAATAAACATCCAAATTATTGGGGACACTCCTACATAAGTCATATGAATCAAAATTTATATGTAATACTACTATAAGCTTAGTGAAATGTAAGATCAGTATATTCAGAAACATAGAAAATTATTTTGAGTAACTTGACCCAGTAGTGATTTAATCATAAATCCCCTGCCATTTGTTTTTTGTCAAAAGTTTAAAAGTAGGAAAGGAAGATGTACAAGAGAGATTCAAATGAAGGCCCACAACTAGCACCTTGAACTCCTAATTAGAGTTCTAAGCAGGAGTACAATAATGACCAATAACATAAAAAATGAAGCAAAAAAGTTATAAAAAAAAAACAACTCAGAGAAAAAGACATCTAGAGGCTATGTGGAGAACAAACCATCATCAAGAACAAGTCTGTTAAGGAATATGGTATTATCGCCTAAATTAGAGTATGAGAATAACAATGTGCCATTGTTTGTGAGACGGCTACAATTTTTGACAATGATACAATTCACATTTATAGTTTTTTACCTTCCTCTATCCACACAGCCAGTCAATTTTCTTGAGAGGACCATACACACCCTTAATTTAATCAAATGAGATTCTTTCAACATTGTTGTTAGATTGCAAAACTGTTTTCCGCAACGGATAAATTGAAAATTATAAATTTTCACAGCCAGTCAACTTTTATGAGAGGAACAAAAAATCCTTAATTGAAAAACTATACTCAGCATGCCAATGATGATAGTATTAGTGTCGAGGGGGTATTGAGGTAATGACATTATTACTGTAAAAATCCTAACAAACCTGCTTCTCTAGCGATTTCGGTCTCAGCCGCTAATTGTCAAGGCTTCAATCTCAGAGGTGGATTGAATTATTGTGTTGAACTCTTTGTATGAGTACGCAACAATAGTTGACATATGTCAACACACGAATTCACACTCACCAAAGCTAAGAATGTTGAATGCAAATATAAATCTAAAGATGCACTCTAAAACTCATAGAATATTCTCTCTATATATAATTATGTATATGAGTTGCCAATAGAGATGTCAATCAATCTGCCCAAATAATGTATATATAGGCAACAGAATCGTATAGAGACATTAGGGCAGGCAAAGTTTAAAACCAAGTTGGAAACTGATTTTCCAAATAGCTCAATTGATCGAATCAAGAGGGCCTCGATCTATCCCTCAATAGATCAAAGTCTACTACAGTTCAATACTTGGAAAAGTTTTCAAGAAGGAAGTTTTCAAAACTCTTTCGATGCAGAACTTAAGAAATTTTGGGAATCAAATCAAGTTAAACTCATGAAAACATGGAAACCCTAATTATACATTCATGAACACCAATTTTGTGAGTGTATCAATGTGTTAAATTACCTTTATGCCCTTGTGAACAAAGAATACCAAATTATCCTTAAATGAAGTATGAAATTCCATCTTCAATCTTGGGAGGTAACAAACACTAACTTTTGAAAATTTCTAAACTACCCTAGAAATGAAAATAGTTACCCAAAAAAGCTAGAAATTAAAACAAAAGTTACACACTCTAGTTTTGATCTACGAAAATTTCCAACATAAGTCTATTGACCTAACAAAAAAGGAATTAAAGATTAAAGGAAGTTACAAAATAGTAGAAGGATATATAGATGAAAACATAATCAAAATAGGTATATAAATATTAATGTCACGGAGGTACGAATGTGCAACCATATTGGTGCGCGTCATTGTGAGAACAAAAACTTTAAAAGGCGGGAAGCAGCAAAAGATACATTTGTTGTTGAAAGAAAATTAAATGCCAGAAATTCTCCACCAAATTGCAGCAAAGACGACTGCATATTATTTTGAAAATATCTTTAAGTTGACATAATCAGCCATTTTTGATATTAATGCCAAATAGACAAAAAAAAATAAAATAAAAAATTGTTGAGAGAAAGAAAGTCTAACAAATCTATAAATAGACAAAAAATGTAAACCCACCTGATTGAAGCCGTGGATGCCACCAACAAAAAGGTGATTATAACTCTCAACATTTTTTAGGACCTTAATAACTTCTTCTTCCTGCTGAGTTAATGATGCTGCTGGTGTCAACTTATTGATGAGGCAAGTGCAAATAGGGCACTTGCAACGCTGAAGTGATGGTGCTGCGCTATAGTTCCAGTACTGCAAAATGCAATTGCCTGTACAAGGAATTACACCAGCTTTATGAAAAATGCTTCTTTTCTTCTTCTTCTTCTGTAATTTTAGAACAAATAGTTTTAACACCAAATGATTAATTATTTCAAACTCAAAGATGCAATTTGGTGGTGATTAGAGTATATGAGTTCTCTAGCTTTCTTAACTTCCACAACTGAATTTAGGATTAATTATTTTCCTTTCAATTTTATCAATTAGAAGAACATCATGTCCTACTTGAGAGTTGAGAAACAGTTTCTTCCCAGATACAGGAGCTCTGAGAATTTCTGCTAGGCCCATTTGAAACAAAGTTAGAGTTAGCATAACAGAATGTATGACCATCCAATCAAGGGATGGCTTAAAGACAATACTTAAGTCAGAGGACAAGTACGAAAGAAGGGACGTTCTTCTTAAAAACACTGTATTTTTTCCCTAAGACTTCTTGTGTTGATGTGAAGATACTACCGGGAAACATAATATCCCAAAAGCAATATATTTTGAAGTGCAACTATATATTTTTCTGAAGCTTATTAAAGAGGTCATGTTAATAATTTGATTTCACCATGATTACACACAGAGGTCAAAGGAGCATCAAACAAAAAGAAATGTGGAAAAAGTAGGAACTCTTTTCTATATTTCCACATCAATAATTATCTTATTTAGAAAAGAAAAAAAAAAAATAAATAATTTTTTTTTTTTGATAAGTAAAAAAAGAAATAAATAAATAACAATGCCTCCAACACAAGGCCATTAAAAATTCATTTAACCCCAATCAATTTTTTTTTTTTTCCTTTTGGGTAAGTGACCCCTATTGAAATTGATTACACTGCAAACTGGCGGAAAAGAAAATAAAACTTGTTCTCTGTTTAAGCATAACAATAACTTCTTCATCCTTGCCTTTGTCCCATATGGATGGGGTCGGGCACATTTATTGTTCAAGGATAACAATAAATTAAATAAATAAAATCCTCAACTGAACAAAATGAAATGGTTAAAATAGCATTTCAAGTGAAGTTAATCAAATCCATGTCCCTAAACAAAACAAAATAACTAAGGATTTACTGATTTGTTTACTTTCTCCTGTCTTTAATTCTCTCAGAAACCAAACTATGTTCTCTTACAGAAAAATCTATCCAGCAATAAGTGCATCATATATTTGCCCCATTTGTTTGCTAAGAAAGTGTAAGAAGAGAAAGAAAAGAAAAAACAATATTTCTGTCTTCTTCTCTTTCTTCTTCGGTTTTTCTCTTCTTTATTCCAAGCAATGAAACTCAGTAAACTTATCAAAAAAATGGAACTCATTCAAGGTTTTAAACTACACAAAAACCCAGGTTTCATAATTTAATTCTCTTGCCCTCCTCCACATATTCAAGGTTTTGCAATGCAATGCGTATGCAAATCAATAATAGGGAATTGAAAACAATTTGTTATACAAAAACTCACCACAATACCAGTGCCCACAGTTTGTTTTGCAGGCAATGGTGAAACTCCCGAAGCAGATTGGGCAACAGTCATCAGCAGGAGGCGTATCCGTCTCTCTCCTCATCTCTCTAACAACCAGGGTTGTGGGGTCCTTGGGGCTTCCAATCTCTCCGTTTCTCTCTCTAACCAGAGAATCGGGGTTTTCCACAGCTTCCTTTCCCTCTCCAAACATAGAATTAGGGCTTTCCATCTCCTCCTCTCTCTCTCCAACCAGAATGCTAGGGTTTTCCATCTCTTGCATTCTCTCTCTATTCAGGGTTTTAGGGTTTCTCACCTCTCTATTCCTCCCTGCAATATGAATATCCATTTCACTTTTTCTCTCTCTAGCCAGGTTGGAAATGGAAACCAACTTTCTCTCTCTAAACCTTGTTCAGAGTTTCCATCTCATCCTCCTCTCTCTCTAACGAAATGAACAAATGCGTCACTCTTCTGTCTCTCTCATCATCTGAGCTGTTGTTTACCATTCTTTATTACGCTGAAGGCGGCAAAGACCGGGAAATAAAAATAAGGGATATTATTACCTGAACTAATTTGTCATACGGACACAGCATAATCTAGGATAAATGGATAATATTAGATGTAATAATTATCTTATCAATTACTCCTATTTGGTAATTTACTTTTTTTAATAAAAAAATAAATAAATTATAATTATCATTCCCTTTTTCTTTTCTCATTTTCCTTTTTTTTTTTTTTAATCTTTACACACACTTACTTTTAGCCTTTTAGGGGACCTTCTAAATAAATAGCTGAAACGGGTGAGCGATTAGCCATTTACCCAAAAGCTTGAACTATTGGGTAGTGCTGCATACCCACCCATTTATACCCAATCACTTTCCCATCCGATTCCGATGTGGGACAAATGACCCTTGTTACATTCTCCCCCACCCAAACCGCAACGCCCTGGTTACGGTTCGGGCCACCCTGCCTACCCGGGATGCTAGCCTGGACGCCTTCCGGGCCGGGTGCTTGGCGTGACACCGGATCAAGGATTAGGTCTGGCTCTGATACCAACTGTAATGGGTGGGCGCTTGCCCATTTACCCAAAAGCTCGAACTATTGAGTAGTGCTGCATACCCACCCATTTATACCCAATCACTTTCCCATCCGATTCCGATGTGGGACAAATGACCCTTGTTACAGTAGTCTACATTTGTGGGTGGTAAAGAAGATCACTTACTTTTAGCCTTTTAGGGGACCTTCTAAATAAATAGGTAGTCTACATTTGTGGGTGGTAAAGAAGATTTTTCATTAGATTGATTATAAATATGTAATATTTTTAAAATTTACACTAATTCAAATATATATATATATATATAGGTTTTCTAGTTAGGGTTTTAGTGGATAGGGTTCGAGAATGAGTGAGATGAGCACTGCGATGGTAGCTGGTACTCTAATGGCGCAAATGGAGTGTGTTAGACAATCTTATCTCTCTGTTATGTGTTATCCCTGTAATGGCGCCAATTGTATTCGCTCTTGAGATGTTCACTTTACACATCAGCAAGGTAAGTGTATTAAGCCTGAAATTGTGTCCCATTTTTTAAGGGTAAACTTGTCTTTTGACTTTTTCGACATCGGCGGTTGAGCTGGTGGGCTTAAATGCAAAAATAAATAAATAAAATAGTTCAAGGTGTTGACCTAAGGGCAACCTAGTAATTTTAATTATTACAAACTATTAATGGTGTTTAGGCACTAGTGTCTACATTGAGTATTGTGCGAGATATGATCACATTTTCAAGATAGCCCTATATGAAGCAAAGATGAACTAAGACATGTTTCAATCATTTCATTACACTTGAAGATATCAATGGTCGAGCAATGGACATGGAAATAAGTTAAAGTTGCAAAAGGTCAAAGCTAGAAGCATTCGAAGTTGACTATCCCCTTAACGATCAAGGATGCAACTCAATAAGCAAGGAAAAAACCTCAACAATCACATATCAATGCCAAAACTTGAATTATGGGGTACATAGGTTGGTGAGTGTTTATGATTTATTGTCAAAGTATTTTTGAATCTCTTTTTGAAACTTACTTCTATAGGATATAGAATCACGTATATGCATTCAAATTTCATAATTGATACCAACAAGCTAGTGACCTAGCGGTACCAAGTTCCTACTTCTCAAAGAGAGGTCAAGGGTTCGAATCTCAATGGAGGCATGCGTGTGTGAGTACCAATTAGGAAAAAAAAAAATCATAATTGATCTTTAAACAACTTAGAAATAGGTCTTGAACATCATTCATATACATACAAAGACCTAAATCAAATTCAAGGCTCAAAACATCTTTAAAAGTGTGCAAATTTAATGCCTAAGGTCAACAACCGACCAGTTGAACCTAAGGAGCCTACTAATTCATCCACAGAGTTAAGAATTAATTGGTGTAGCTTTTTAGCCGATTGATACAATGTATTAGCCGAATGGTTTGAGAACCAAAAATTGATGCTTTAAACAAGCCGACTGATTCATGGTATATTTTAATTCACTATATTTGCATTTAATGCACCCCCACTACCTCCAACAATTCTTTTCGGCCATAAATGTCTATATATATGGCTGCAGCATTTTAACCATGATAGGTATAAGTTATGAGATACATTTATGAGACTTTAAGAGATATTATTTGAGCATTTAATACACTTTCCACTCTCTCACTCATTTCACTCAATAAACTTAAGCTTCAACTTGAGAATCATCAATACTCTAGATTCGGCTCCTCTCAGTTAAAAACTCTCTCCCAACATTTGCCATAACGTCCAACGGACCCAGATCTGCCACATCATTATTTTAAAAATAACACTCAAAACGTTATTGTTCCACTTATTTGTGTTAATGCCGTCTTCAAACATCATATTCACGATTTCCCTACTTACTAAAATTGTTCCCTCCACTTTGATTTCCATTCAACTCACGATTTCTCTCTCAAGATCTCTAATCTACCAAAAGATCTTACTTTCTCTAAACTTTTCCCTCAACGTGGAATTTTAAGAACATGATTGTGCTAGCTTCCATTAAAGCATATTTGTAATTGAGGTATGTAGATTTTCATCTTTCAAAAGAAATTTAGCCAACCCATCAGTATTTTCACCATATTTTATTATTTATTTTATTTTAATTAACTCAAGAAGTTTAGTTTAAAATAGGACAAATAATTCAAATTTATTCCAAAAGTTTAGGTGATGTTCTGTTTTACGAATATTTATTTAGTTTTTTTAATTGTTAACTACTCTATAAATAGTTACACATTCTGTGAGGAAAAAAAAATAGAGGTTGTTGTTGAACTTAAGGATTTCATCCAATGACAATCTAGTTGTTTTGATGATAACAAACCATTAATGGTGTTTAAGGACTAATGTTCACATTAAGTGTCATAGATGACTTATATTCAAAGAAAAACCTCCATGAAGATCATAAAGACCATTCCAAGTATTCCATTATTCAAGATCACATCAAGGAAAGAAATGGATACAAAGAAGAGTTGAAGTTGCAAAGAAATATAGCTTGGACTACAATGACCAAGAAAGCAACTCAAAGGAAGGAAGAAAGCGAGACTACCTTAAAGCCTAAAGATCATGGACAAAGCTTGAAGAAAAGGGTAGATAGGATGGTGAGTGTTTAGGATTCAATGTCAAAGTATCTATGAATCCATTTGAAGCTCAACTCTATAGGACCATGCATATCATATCATCATTCATATACTCCTATATCCATTAGTAATTGACTATGCACTTCATTCATATACAAATGACATATGGAGTCTTTGCTAAAGAATGAGTTAGTTCAAGCTTGCATAAGCTTTGAAAGAACTCATCACTTGTGTTAGAAATGCTAAGACCATGTACATCAATCATAAAATTCAATTGGTCAACAATTAAGGCATGAGAAGCCTTTATTACCATGAGTTGGTAATGGACATTGGACCTGAGAATGCACATCATGAAAAACTGTGTTTTTGGCTAAGTGTGAAAAATGAATTTTTGAAATAATGATTATTTCAAAATAATTTTTCCCGGTAATAACTCTTTATACTTAAACTAGCCTAAATTGATTTTATCAGAATTTTTGACCAAGTCTACATTGGTCTACATAAGGATTCAATTTTACTAAAACTGTCGGAAATCCAAATTTGTACTAAAACTGAATTTCTACATTTTGATTTAGTTGGATTTCAATTTTCTAGTATTTTTTATTGAATCCAAATGGGGGGTACTTCCTTATTTACATTGTAAACTTAAAGTAAATGAACATATAAATTAAAGTAAAGACATTTACTCAAATGTTTTCAATGGAAATAAGTTCTGTGCAGATGTCCTGTACTGAAAGTCCTAAGCATAAACCTGTCATCTGTCAAAACTGTCAATGCACCAGAAAACGTCGACTGGTTTGATGCATACGTCGATCGGTTCATAAAGCATACGTCGACCGGTTTGAAGCATACGTCGACTGGTATCTAGGCAGTACTGAAATTTTAGAAACATAACATACGTCGACTGGTTTGTAGTATACGTCGACCGGTTTGTGCCATACGTCGACCGGTTTATGCCATACGTCGACCGGTTCTTGTCGGATCTGTAGATTTCAAAATGCAACGGCTCTTTTCTCCTCGACCTTTGTGCATTTATCTCTTAACAGCTATATTGAGCTTGCAAACTCTATTAATATAGTGGGAAAAGTCTAAATAATTAAGAGACATCATTTGAAAGCCTTCACATTGCATTAAAGAGAGCTTTTGTTCTCAAATCTTCTCTTCATCTCTCTCATTCACTATTATTCTATCTTGAGAGATTTAATTAAGCACTCAAAGGGCTTTTGCTTTTGCTTGAATCTTCATAGAGTTTTTGCTCTATTATACACTTGAGAGATTATAAGAGGTTACATTCTTCACTTATATCATCTCCTCTCATTCATTTCATTCATAGAGTTTGAGCTTCATTTATATTCATCATTACTCTAGTTGTGAGCTGAAAATTTTACTACTATCTTTGAGAGATCTATTGTACTTTATTGTTCTTGCTATTATCTATTGTAAGGGTTGGTGTGACCCAAAGGAAGACTAAGGGAAGGTTGTTCTCTTAGTAAGGAAAAGAAGCAAGGTCTTGCTTCATGTAAAGGTTTGCTTTCCACCCGTAAGGAGAAGCCATAGTGGATTGGGAAGTCTCAAGAGGAGTCTTGAGCCGAGGAGTAGGAGTTTTCGAACCTCGCTAAAATCACCGAGTCAATGTTTGCAATTTCTCTTTCCTTATCTCTCTTATAATTGTGCTATTTAATTGCTTATTTCATATCTTTATAATTGCACAATTGTGTTAAGTACTTTGCTTGAAATTGTTTTTCTATATTGCAAATATTATCCATTGTTTATCATTGACTCTATTCACCCCCCCTCTAGAGTCAATACTTAGGCAACAACTGGTATCAGAGCCTAACTGTAATTAAAAGACTTAATTGTCTTAGAGTACGATTATGGCCAACAATG